ATTACTTGAAATTCTTCTACTTTTACTTCACATCTCACTCCTCATTACTTTGTTGTTTTAATGTTGATATAAAAGTACAGCGAGCTTATATCATCTTTGAGCTTAAAGTTTCATTATTTGCCTTGGACATAAAATAATAGCACATGGTACATGCGCACATGGGGTCAGAGGGCAAATACTCAGAAGGGTTTTTGTTTTTCATACACCGCTACTCGAGATAGAACAATCGATAAGTGTAATCACTCTGAACGATGTCTGAATATCCACATCCTATAATTTCAAGAAGTTAATAACAAAGCCAAAGATGCCACTTTAAAATATTCAAACAACATTAAACATAACGCAGCTGATATCGTACCTCAGAACTTTAGCACAGAGAAGATGTTGTCATGTTGGTTTGTACAACTTTCCTCTTCTGAGCAGATGTCATTCATTGAGGCCATTTATCTCTAAGTGTGTGACAAAAACAATGTCTTAACACCACACAACAATGCACTTTTATAGAACGTATAGTTATATTTATAGTTAAAAACTGACACTGGAAAGTGTGGTACATAATGTAAACTAGATCCTGTTCCACATACTTCGGTACGGTAGGTGGTAGTGCATCTAAAAGTTGGGCTTGCGGTCTGCCAAACAACGCTAGGAATAAGAGGAAAGCAACACCGAAAAATTGAGAAAATAAGGTTTATGAATAAATGACAAAAATACGCAAGATTTAAACAAACCAGGAGATTCTTCCATAGTTCCTGTGGACCGTGTAATGACCCAGTACTGTTTACCCATTCATGGAGCAAACTCCATCCACTGATGAAAGCCACAACATGGATGTGAAAGCTTTGGAAAATGTCCAATAAGTGGAGATGGTGCTGTATCACTTTAATTACAAACGACACCATATATATATTTGTAATCTCAATCTTTATTTGCTTAAACAATTTGGACAAACAACTTGATATAATACAATGGCTTTAACCATTCATTATCTGAACATGCCATACAGAATCTGAAATAAATAGAACCTTAATGCCAAATGTCAGTATGTACAAATACGGTAGGCAAAGTTACCATCCTCACAAGCTATATACACCGACTGTAGAACACACGTCAGTAACAGGCCCACAATGACATCTCATATTACTAAACAAAAATAATACTGAAGAATTCAAATTTTGCTTTGAGATGGTGACACGAAGATCTAGGAAATTGAGAAATGTGTGGGCAAAACGGATTCAGACCAAATTATGACATGTCAAAAGTGAATGCATTGCCAATATTCAGCTAAAAATCAAAGAATCAAGTCAAATTAACATTAGGGTCACAATAACAAATGTGCTGCATGACACAAATGGACCATAAATTCATAAACCAGCCAAAGTTAACATACAGTCTCAAAAAGAATCCTTCAATCAGTTTTGTTTTCTATCCTTTTGTGAAAGTTTTATAAAGCCAAATGTAGCTATACAACAACTCCATCGTGGATAGTTGCCATTATATCAGAATGAGGTAAATGAGCCTGTCACAACAGTAAAAAAGAAAATCTATATATTAAACATTCAAAAAAAAAAAAAAAAAAAAAAAGGAGGAAAAGGCAAAACTGTTCCCTCGAAATGTGAATGGATGTCCACAGAGGAAAACACACGACTGCAGCAGAAAGCCGATGAGGAGCCGTTTGTTTAAGGTTCAAACTCAGAGGACAGGACCAGCTGATATTTCCAACCACGAACACGGAGACTACTTCCAAATACAGCAAGTAGCCAGTAACAAGAGGAACGACTGCGTCACGGCTACATGGCTTTGAACGATCAACATTCACTTCCGTCATGAACATATGGGGTGCAGCTACACCTCTCCAACCCCACAGTGCATATGCACACATGCAAGAAAATAGCAAATAGGAAATATTGCATTTTAAAGCATACTGTGAGATAAATTAATTCATATGAACACATCCCTTTTTTAAATAGAATACATTCTAAAATTGAAAATAGTTAAACTGTGCAATTTTAGTGAAAATACAGGAGGAACAGAAGGTAAGGATGAAGCCGTGGTCTGTTGAGGACCTTTTGTCAGGGATAGTAGCTTTCATCGAACGATGGAACCAAGAATATATAACGGTGCCACTTCGGCATTCATTCAATGGCATTCATACAAGCACAGTACAGTACGGCTATAGGCACATGCAAGTATGTGGTAGGAACATATGCACAAATGACTGTGCACCTACTCACAGATGCATTTCGCGCTGCAAACTGGACGCAGCTCCATTGTATCGTCAAGCCTCTCTTTCCACACATCACATTCAAAAATGCACAATCCCAAACAGGGGGGGCACACACACACACACACACACACACACCTAGCACACAATGTGATGGTCTTTCAAGTGTCCTCTCGGTTCCCACATTGAGTTGGGTGAATAGGAGTTTCAGTAGAGGTTTACGTGGTTTGGGACACCTCACATTCTCAGAGGCAGCATGCCTGGTGGAGACAGGGCTCTGGATGTCGCAATGGCGGTCAGGGAGCTGGGGTCCAATCCATTTACAGTCCTGCAGTCGCCACGTGGGCATTTTCAATATTAGCAAACACAGACACGCATACGGGGCAGAACAAATATGCATAAAACCAGGTACAACACACTGCATTGCTATAGGAGCAGAACAAAACTTGCTCAAAAAGACTCACGTTTTGTCAAAGTAAGTGGTGTGTAGAGAATGAGAGAACTTCGTGGCATTGCTGTTGATGAGTTTGTCGTTGTCTATGGAGTAATTTTTTCTTGCTGCCTGGTCTTTGGCAAAGTTTCTGCAGGCGGCGATTTTGGACTCCAAAGCCTGGTCACAAAAACAGGAAGTTGGATCTGTATTTAGCCTCATCGTCTCTTGTGGTGGAGGACACACTGTTCCTCTGTGCTCTGCAACCTATTCAGATAATTAATGTAACGATGTCTTGAATTAAAAAGGAATGATGCCTACCCCAACTTTCCTCAGGAGATCGCCAACAATATTAAGAGCTGAGATTCTAGCAGAAGGCGTGAGGGATGAGTTGCCACATCCATTGGTCAGTGCTGCACAAGGACACAAGCTGGTATTAGAATACATATAATTTCACGTGTGCGTTAAGAGTGAGTTTAATTAATCCTGACCTTTGGGGCTGATGAAGGAGTGCTCTATGCTCTTTCCTACGGGTGTTGCTGGGAGGGATAAAGAGGCCTGTACTGCAGAATCCATCTTGTCGATGTCTAAAGTGGGTGAGCTAGGTGCTGACATCCTGTCTGTGGTCCGCTCACGTACTGCCAGCTCCTGTCTCAGGTCTGCAGAAGAAAGATTTCAACTTATGAAATACATCTACACCAAACCCTTTCGCAGAGGACATATGCTGAAAGGGCAGAATGGATTATTGTCTTTACCTCGTGCTTCATCTTTCAGTCGCTGCACGGATTCTAAAAGAGACTCCTTCTCGTCCAGCTCACTTTCCAGGAAGGCGTTTCTCTCGATGGCCTGGTTTAAACGGCCCTCGAAGTCCTCAAGAGACACTATTGTTGCCCTGCACATGAGTAGAGGTTGAAGGGCACTTGTTAAAACCTGAATGAACATTACAGTAAGTCCAATCACTATAAAATCTACAGCTAGAATTCTCATCTCCTCAGCGCTACCGAAAACAATTCATATATTGACCAAAATGCACCGGGGCAGTCTTGACCTTTTGGCTCTCTCCAGGTCATCGTTGGCCTGCTCAAGCTCTCGGACGTATTTCTGCAGCTGCTCCTTGATGCTGCGTGTCTGGCCCAAGTCGTCCTCTAGCATAGAAACCTGTTTATAACTCTGGGCGTACTGATGCTCCAGCTTCTCCTGATAGAGATGGATAGAGTGAAGAAGAGAAAAGAGCCTGGGAGTGAGTGTGTGCGCGTGTCGAGAAACAAGGACATCAAACAGACCTATCGCTCCAGGATAAAAAATGAAAATCACTTTAATTTTGCAGCTTATCATTTATATACAAAACAAAAAACAACAGAATCACAAGACAGTGAGTGCGCACACATTATCTTTACTTTCAAAGAGCCTCTTTGTTAACACTCCAGTCAGCATGTCTGCATCGTGGTCCCAGAGCATGATTCAGCATCTCTCTGGTGCATCCACACAGTTTGTTTTCAGCATTTAGCTGCTGCAATCAAGCTCACATGTTAGGTCATGTGAGCGTGATATCACAATACTTTTCTGCTCCGTGTTCAGTGGCTACAGAGATTTCTTGAATGTACAGTAGTAGTAGTCGTTTGATGAGCATGTTCACCAGACGAGAGCTCACTGAATACGTCTGACCACCGTTCATGCCTGCAGGGATTAACTTGTCCTTGCAGTTTTCTATTTTCTTCCAATCTAATTAAGGAGTGCTGGAGGATTACCTCAGAACATGCCTTATTAACACCCAACATAAAAATAAGACGCCCGACTTTGTCCTCAGGATCCAACAGAAACCTCTTAAGTAGCCACACATTACTTTATCTGCGTCCTGACCCACAGTTAAAGCTAAATACACAAATAAACTACAAGGTAAGTCACCAGGCCCACTAGTCACCTTGAGGTTGGACACCTCGTTCTTCAGCCTCTCGTTTTCAGTTTGGAGATCTCGAAGGCGGTGTTCAGCCTGGCAAAGCTGCGCCTCCAACTCAGCTTCCAGCTCCCGGCTCCCTTCCTGGAACTCCTGCAGCTCCTCCTGGGCATCATAGCAGCTGGATGGCACACACACACACACACACACACACACACACACACAGATACAGAGAGGGGAAACACATAAACAATCATTGTCAACTACCAGCTAACCCTGTCCACTGTCCACCATTCAGTTCTGTATAGCTGACTGGCTAAATCACTGCACGCAGGAGCTCTAGAAAGCTGACTGGCTTTTGTCTCGTAAGATGAGCCAGGCTCAGGCGTGTTCTAGTAGCTTTACCTCCAGCGGACAGAAATAAACCTGCATAAAAAAGCCCAGTCAGATATTTGTCGATTTTTAACCTTCGCCACACAGGAATCTGTGCACGGCTCAGCATTGTCGAGTTAGGAATCCTAAATATACGGCTCTAAAGAGACAGCTGTACTGTGGCAGGAGGTGGTTCAGAAGCAGCTCAGAAAAGCAGGCCTGCTGTCATGAGTCCTCAGCTGTAGGAGAGGTGAAAAGAAAGTGAGAGGGCACAGAAACAGGAAGTGGACCTGTGCTAAGAACCAGGATGTGTGTGTGCGTGCATGCTGGTAAGGACTGATCCCATGTAGTAGTATCTATAAACACACACAATAACACATAACGTAGGCTTCTGAATGTGTAGATTCATTCAAGTAAACATGCAACATAGAATAAGAAGGAAATAACTCTGAGTTTATGTACATGGACCCTAGTTCTCTTCACCCTATCAAGGGTGTGCAAACACATGATGACACCGTGGTTAACACTGTTCTGAGATCAGCTGACCCGTGCTGCGATAATGGCCTCACAGTGGCTCTACAGAGCACTGGATTCCGTGAATCAGTTGTTGTGCCGAGGTCGTTCCACACATACCGAACGCCTCAGTTGCTGCTTCATCAGCACGCTGGGCCCTGTAACTTTGTTACATAAACCCACGTCAGGAATTTCTTAGAAAAAACCCCACCAGGGCTTTAACCCCCTCTGTGCAGGTTTACACTTCCCTTGAGGGTACGATGGGGCCCAACTCCACGAATAGGAAAGACAGACGGACCGGGTTCAACAAAGATTACACAACACTCACGAGCACCGCTGCTGCCTACGCGAACATAGACTGTGATGTCCGTTTAAGAAGGCAAAGATGTAGTAACTTCCTACTAAGCGAGCCACAGATGTTTGT